GGTAGAGCTCTGGGTAAAATCCTGGCCCCATTGGAGTCAATGAGAGTTTTGCCATTGACTTCAATAGATCCAGGATTTCACCCCATGTTTATGTACAGTGTTTGTACATTTTTGTGCAATACCCAGCACAACAGAGTCCTGCTCCTTGACTGCAGCTCCCAGGTGCTACCACAAGACAAATAATAAAGAATAATAATGTCTTTCCAATTATTCTGTAAAGCACTTAGCACGCTTTGGATGCTGTCAAATGAATCAATATCAGTCTCTGTGTATATGTAGGTCCTTCATGGTGTCAATGACCATGGTATCTGTGCACCCTCCATCTCAATATATATCTCTAGCTACACAAGTATCTGTAATTCCCTAGGCCACAAGAAAAAAGGTTATTTTTTGTCTGTTTTGGGAGGCAGACTCTACAATCATTGGCACTAATATAATTCCTATCTTGTAGTATAAATCTTCTTAATTTATGGTGTGATTTCAGGATTCTGATGATTCTGATATGAGAATCAAATTATAGAATAAGATCAAATTATAGAAAATCCCCAATTATCACACATCAGAGGGTTAGCCGTGTTAGTCTGAATCTGTAAAAAGCAACAGAGGGTCCTGTGGCACCTTTAAGACTAACAGAAGTATTGGGAGCATAAGCTTTCGTGGGTAAGAACCTCACTTCTTCAGATGCAAGTTATGGAAATTACAGCTGAGGGCTGTAGGTGATGACCAGTGGATGGCCAACAGAACTCCACTGGCCATCACCTACAGCCCTCAGCTTAAACCTCGCCAACGCATCATCAGTGATCTACAACCCATCCTGGACAATGACCCCTCACTTTCACAGATCTTGGGAGGCAGGCCAGTCCTCGCCCACAGACAACCTGCCAACCTTAAGCATATTCTCACCAGCGACCACGCACCGCACCATAACAACTCTAACTCAGGAACCAACCCATGCAACAAACCTCGATGCCAACTCTGCCCACATATCTACACCAGCAACACCATCACAGGACCTAACCAGATCAGCTACAACATCACCGGCTCATTCACCTGCACAACCACCAATGTTATATATGCCATCATATGCCAGCAATGCCCCTCTGCTATGTACATTGGCCAAACTGGACAGTCACTACGCAAGAGGATAAATGGACACAAGTCAGATATCAGGAATGGCAATATACAAAAACCTGTAGGAGAACACTTCAACTTCCCTGGCCACACAATAGCAGATGTAAAGGTAGCCATCTTACAGCAAAAAAACTTCAGGACCAGACTCCAAAGAGAAACTGCTGAGCTCCAGTTCATTTGCAAATTTGACACCATCAGATCAGGATTAAACAAAGACTATGAATGGCTATCCAACTACAGAAGCAGTTTCTCCTCCCTTGGTGTT